GATGACCCTGATTAGTTTCCCAGGCAGAGCGAAACCGAAGGCATGTTTCCTTACTCTACACACCTCGGTTTAGCTAGCAGTAATCGGAACCCGGTTGTTAGTCGATTGGCGGATCGCTTTCTGGAGTTACAATCCCTTCAAAAAATTATAATTCACTCAATCCACATTTCGTCCACAAAATATACAGTCAATTCACTTTACTCTGTGAAGCGCTTTGAGACGTCTCATCATCGTGATAAGGCACTATATCAAATGCAAGGATTATTAATTCTAAAAACTTTCATTAATTATAAGAACTCTTCAACTTGGGTTACTTTCTTCCCAGGTACTCCTCAAACAGTACATCATTGACAATTTATTGGTCCAATTTATACTGTGCCTATTGTTTGGGTTAAGATATATCCTTGGTTTGGGGGGGGGGCAGGGGGAGGGAGTAAGAGGCAAGCAGAGTCTTCTTGGAGCTGAGTTGGCTCCAAGGTGACATACTTGGCAACAAATGTCGATTGAGTCAATCTTCTGTAGTGGTCTCGGTAGTCTGTTTCCTGAGCCAGGCAGGTCCTCAGTACTCTAGGGCACTAACTGATAACAGCCCATCCAGCAAAGGACTTGGATGAACAGACCCATGTTTGGGGGTAGAAACTCTTCCCATTCAGCTCCTGCTAACCCTGAAAACTGAAAATCCAACAGATAGGATGTTCCTAGCTGGACAGCCAAGCAGTTTTAGTTGGTTAAACCACAACAGTACTCCAACATATACTGTGACATCCCTAAGCCTTAGCTATTGCCACACTATGCCTATTACTCTCCGGAATTAGGTAAGCTGGATATGTCCCTCCAGGGAGTGTGCGCATCCCATTCCAATATATGGGAGTTTCCATACATATTTGGGTGCATGGAGCTGTTTGGTTTGAATACTCTTAAACATGGTGATCAATTTCCACATGTTTCAGATACATGGTTGACCAAAAAAAATGGCCCTGGATGCTTATCTTACAAACCTTCCCCCATTTTCAATAAACTCCACAAAACCAGGCCAGTGGCTTTAGACTTTCTGCTTGGGACCTTCCACTGCCGATTAGTAAAAGAAAAAAAATGGCTCACTTATCTATATGTAGTTATTGCAATTATATATCTGGAGGAAATGAGTAACTGTTCCAAGAGATATAGTGGGCTATAATGCATCAATCTTCAGCTGGAATTAAAAAAAGACAATGTGTAGGAATGCAATTTACATTATTCGATGTGAAGCAACCTTATGCTATGTAGAGGTTACAGTTTAAAAAACTAAAGCAATGCAGTAAACTATGGAGTTTAACATTGGGAACTTACTTTCTAACACTGTTAGAAAAAAATGCTTTTTGTATAGAAGTTTATATGTTAAAATGTTGCAAAGCACTTCACAATATTTATCGTTATTTGTGATAATTGATTTAAAAATCTTGAATAGAAGGAAACCTTCCCTCACAACAAAAACTTTACGTTATTATTTATTTTATCTCAAACACTATACAAGACTACTTTGCAACACCACTATGTATTTTTGTAGACTAATTTTGTTGATACCATAAATGTAAGAACTCTTGAATGATAATCCTACAAACAAACTCATCCACCGTCTCTTCTTAAATTCTCCTGGTCTTGTCCTGAAAACCTACCTGTGCTTTTGGAAGGCTGTCTCTTGTCATAAGTATTTTCCTAGACTAATTTTGTTGCTACCTACCTTAACAGTAAGAATTCCTGAATGATAACCCTACACATGAACTCATCCACTGGAGATGTGTTGATTGCAGTCATTATAATGTAATAAATCTAACTAAAGTTTCTTACCTGACAGATCGTATTGTGGATTGATTCAAACTTTATGTTGGAAGCAGTTGAGTCAGCAAATTCAAATTGGAATTAGCTATTTTGCAAAGGCATCAACTGGGGAATTTGAGAGAGAATAAAATATGATTTTATTTTGCTATTGGACTAGCAATATAGACTGCAAGTCTTTTTTTCCTTTCCTTTGTATTCCTTAGTTCCAATTCACTTATGGACGTTGTAAATAGCATCAATTCTAGCACTGAACCCTTAGGCACTATTTTTTGCAAAATCAGATATCTAACGCATTCAACATTATCCAAATCAGACAGTGTTACATACATGCATTCCACCTCAATGTATACACACCCTATTTACCCTAAAATACATGATCTTCTCATCAGGTCATTCTGACACCATCTATTAATTTAAGTGTTTTTTCAACATGTCTTCCAATGGTTTACCTTCCAACAACTATCAGACTCACTGGCCTACAGTTCCCTCAGTTACCCTTCTCTTTTCTTAAAATCTCCTGGTCTTGTCCTAAAAACCTACCTGTGTTTTGGGAAGGCTGTCTCTTTCCTCCAGAAACAAGAACACAACAAATTTATTTGTGATCAGTTAGACCCCTTTATCAACAAGTGAAAGTGATACAACAACAACAAGATTCCATTTATAGATAAGAATTTGAGTGCCAAAAGTTACAAATTGAATTATACTGTAATGCCTTCAGTAGTGTAAAAGAATTATATCATTAGGTTACAACATATCGTAACATCTAAATGTTATTCCTAAACAATGTTAATGTTTCATTCCATTTGAAGATTGCTGTTTATTTTGTTATATTATAATGTTTACCATTTTCAGTGTTGAACATGTATCGCTTTCTTCATTATAAAGTTGAAGAATTTGACAATATGCCTGAACACATCACGACACACCTAAATATTAGAATAGCAACTGTACACATAATTGGAACACACTCGATTATTCTTTTGTAGGGTATATTACAATCCCAACATTTTAATATGGATTATCTTCCTCTAACAATGTCATAACTAGCATCACAGGACACGAATGAATGATTTAGCAGAGAATCTGGCCATAATTGCTTCAATAGCAAGAAACAAAAAATTAGATTTGTTTTGCCTTTACTAACAGAGGTACTGTTATAAATCCCCAAATATTGATTTTATAAACGCGGTACTTTCCCGTCCAAATAAATGCCCTTTATCCAAAGAAAATTTCCATTTTCTCCTCTGCAAGGCTCCAAGATATTTTGAAACCGACACATTTTCACCCATTCTTCATTACAATACACTCACAATACACCCAGTTCTGGGTTTCCCTTGTCTGCTGCGCTTACTGTGATTTGCTGTTCCTAAATCATATGAGAAAAACAAAGCTCCACCCTACAAGTCTAGTGCATTAGGTAATTCACGTACAGTACGTCCTTTATCACATTGCTAAAAAAAATTAAACGATCTGGAAAAAGTACAATATTTAAATGAAAACGCCTATATTTATTTCCCCAATAAATGTTGGGCCATTAATTAAGTGGATAATGGTGGTGATCACAGGGCTGATCGCGTTGATCACTGGTCAGCTTCATAGGTTTCGTTTCCACCGACGCACGTGATTTCATCATTTCACAACAATATCTAAACCTTTCATCTTCCCCATTGTCTGTTACATTTAAGATTTCAGCTTCTTTTTCGCAGTTCACAGGGCAGACAAATGCGCATTTTATCCACAAACGATCCGGGGAAACGGGTGCTATGTGTTTAAATCTTCCTGTCGGCGCTACTGTATGACAAAACACCTTCCACCACGTCCCCTGTTCAGGCTCCTGAACCACCCAAAGCTTTTCTGTCCTTTCCGGGTTACTGAAAGTCAATCGGGTTAAGCGATAGAAAGCTGACAACAGATGCAGTCGACTGCAGTCTTCGGAAGACCGAAATATGCTGCAAAAAGAAAAATGCTCTCAGCTCTCCCCCCCGACAACGCCTTCGTATTCACATCGCGGTAACTGCCGCCGCCTTCACTGCAAAACATCGCAGTAAAAGGTCCTTCTGTGTCCTCGACCGAGCTTCACACCCCGGGCTGGACCGGGCGGACAGTGTCCCTCTCAGCACCGGGTTACTGCATTACATCCTCAGTCTGGGTCTACGGTTCCCACCACTCTACAGGAAATTAGAGCCCCCCCCTCCCCCCACAGAGGTACCCGGTATCAGCCACACAGACAGATCATTGCTACATTTCAACAAGTATCAAGTCGAGTTGTTGCCAAATTCTTCTTAAAAATGTTAGGTGTTAAATATGAATACTGGACTACATTCATTCCGGTTCAAAAACCGTGTGGATACAAACGCGACAGCGACACTGACTTTGAACAGATGTATTGTATTCGTTTTTACAGATGGGCCACACAGTGTGATGTTATACACTGTAATAATTTCCTATAATGAACTTGTACGACTTCGAATACATATATTTTATAGGTTTATAGTTTGATGCATCTTGTGTTTTGAGATTTCTATTATATATTTCATTTATTTACACTAATAATAATTGATCATTAATGCATTAATAGTTATTTTTCCTGTCAGAAGTAACATCAATTTACTTAAAGACGTTAAAATTGCATAGTGATACATTGATATTTTAATTTATTTAACTAGATTTCATTGTATGATAAATTATTTTACTGCAATATTATCGGTGGTGTCATCCATTCGTTATATATTGGCTATTGATTCGCAGTTACATTGATTTCATAAATATTTGTTGTACAGATGTATATCATAACACATATTTATATTAAGCACATTAAATAATGATTGCTAAATGTACTATGCAAATACATTTTAATAAATATGTTCGAACGTGTATTTCCTTGTTAAAACTGGATATTACGTGCTGCAGAGAAGCATTAAGTTATGTTAACACGATATGCATTTGTTATTATGACATACAAAGAAATGTGTCTGCCATTCATCGATACAGTTGTATGTATTGCTACATTTTTATTGTTGTAATACATACCTGAGCCTGAACGGCTACAGACTGACCGGTAACACATTGTTTTGCTTAAAGCCGAGGTTGTCATGTGTTGCTCGGTATTGTTTTATTGATTTTGTCGTGCGTTTGTTATTGTTGTCCACATGTTTATTGGCGAATGCAGAAGGGCGTTTTACCTGCTGAGCTGAGTGTCCAGGGCTGCAGTGAAGAGGTGTTGGTACTTTTCCCCGAGCAGTTTCCCCGAGAGCAGGAGGTGCTGCAGGCGTCCGGCCCCGACCTCCATCCCTCCTCCTCCTCCTCCTCCGCCTGCGACACTGGGATCCCCGGCCGCGGAGCCGGGTGGCAGGAGGGTGGGAGCCAGGCCGCCGGGAACAGGCATCGTCGGCAGCAGCGAATCTGAGTAGCGAGCCGCCCCCGCGGCCGGGAAGGCGGGCTCCGTGCGGGAGGTGCCGGAGGAGCAAGAGAAGCCTCGGCCGGGAAAGCCGGACCCCGCTCCGCCTCCACCAGCGCCGGCCCCGGGTGCAGGAGGAGATGGAGCCGAACACATCATCCTCCGCTCGGGGCGGAGAGAGGGAGAGAGAGGAGAGCGGTGACAACACAGGCCGCTCACTCGCTCGCTCGCTCACTCACTCCTCATCCTCCTCCTCCTCCTCCTCCGCTCACACACACACACACACCGGCGCCTCAGCTCTCCTCTCCTCTGTACTCGACCCCTCTCCTGCTCGTGCTCCTCAGCACGGCCCCTATCGCCCGCTTTGGTCGATTCTAGCGCTGAAAGCACAGCCGCCCCGCGCCGCCATCTTGCACCTTTCACCACCGCCTGAGCTGAGCGCGGGGCATGCCGGGAAGGGGTCCCCCCGCCCGCCCGCCCGCCCGCCCCAGGAGGAGGGGCCGCGCCCAATGTGGCCGCCTTGGGCGGGTTTCACGCCCAATTTGGGCGTCTTTCTGTTCCGCGGCACGTGGGTCAAAAACGGTGCCTAGTTTTCGATTTCCACCTCGCAAAACTTTTCCTTAATTTACCCCCACGCTTTGAAGACCTTTCCTTGCACGGTTTCCAAAGCACTGACCTAAATCGGCCACCCAATCCGCTGCCCATTGGTAGGCGACGCATGATATTGGGCTACCTTTGGGCTCGTGTTTGGTTGGCTTTGGGCTACAAACGTATTGTAGTGGCTGTCTCCCCTGCACCAGGAGGACCAGGGCGCTGCTGCTGTGTCGTAATGATACAACCTATTCGCACTGTGCTGCAATGCTCAACTCTGGACTTCAGGGAAATTAAGGATTTTTTTCCCAACCATTTGCTCTCTCTCTCTCCCTTCCCCAACGAATGTCCCTGCATTTGACATCGATCTGCAATCATCGATGTGAAAATGTAAAATAAAATCAATGCAGCTTTCTGGCAGTTGTTTTGCAATGTTTCATTATTAGCCTGAATCTAACAATACATAATCATAAGGTATCTAACCAGATTGAACAATTTTGCTTGTTTTCATGAACAATGACATCACTATGCAGACATTACAATTGTATTTGGTTTTATATGAATAACCTGACTGTACAGACATTTATAAGAAAGTAGTATATGTTTGACCTTGCATATGACCATGCTTCCAAGTAATTTGCCCAATGACTTAGAACGAATTATGGTCAACCCACCAGTGAAAATGTTTATCTTGTCACCCAGTCATCATTCCATTTATTGCTTTCCAATTCCATATCAGACAATTCCTTTGCTGGAAGTAAAATCTATTTGCGTTTATAGTTTGAGAAAATTAATACCTCGATTGGTCATTCATTTCATAGCTGTTTTGAAGTTATTGCTGTGCGTAAATTGGCTGCCACTAATTACAGCATATCCCACAAAGCGCTTTGGGATGTGTTCCCAATAGGAAAGGAGCTGTACCAAATGAAAAGATTGTTTTAATAATTACTAAATATCATACAACACATCATGGTTACTGTGAAGAAAGCTGTTTTGAGGAGGCTACGAGTTAGTTGAATAGTAAAACTTCTATTTTGAAATTAAATGGGTGGGAAGAATAAATAATAAAACAGATTATACATGTTATATGGAAAGAGTAGCCTTGATAGGACCAATAAAACTGTTAAATTCTCACACTTGATATTTTCTTGTTTCGGTGATCTCTGTGAATGATTGTCCAAATTCGTATACGATATGGCACACATTACGGCTTTCAAAGCTTCAGGGAGGTTGTAGCACATTCATTGCAGTCAGCACAAGTAGTTCTGACACACATGCATTTGGCTTTTACCACACACATGCAAGCTAGCACTTCCACATGTTAATTTTGTTCTTGTTCTTGCAACCCTTTTTTCAGGAACTGGTTCAGTACTATTACTTAATAATAATATTTACATATTTGATGTAGCACCTTATCATTTTGAAACATCTCAAAGCAATTATTGTGTTTTCTGTGAAGTAACTATATTTGCAGGTGAATATGGCAACCAATATGCATACAGCCATGACTCAGTGGCAAGAGTTAAGAACATAAGAACATAAGAATTAGGAGCAGGAGTAGGCCATTCGGCCCCTTGAGCCTGCCCCACCATTCGATAAGATCATGGTTGATCTTCAGACCTAACTCTGATTACCTGCCCTATCCCCATATCCCCTAATCCCTCTATTATTTAAAAATCTATCAGTCTCAGGCTTGAAGATGTTCAAGGACTGAGCATCTACAGCCTTCTGGGGTAGTGAATTCCATAAATTCACTACCCTCTGAGTGAAGAAATGTTTCCTCAACTCTGTTCTAAAAGGCTGACCCTTAATTTTAAGACTGTGACCCCTGGTTATAGATTCTCCTACCAGGGGAAACAGACCTTCAGTGTCTACTTTATCCAGCCCTTTAAGAATCTTATATGTTTCAATAAGATCTTCCGTAATTCTTCTGTACTCTAGAGAATATAGCCCTAGTTTATTCAGTCTATCCTCATAGGTCAGTCCCCTCATCCCAGGAACTAACCGAGTGAATCTACGCTGCACCCCCTCTTGGGCAAGTATGTCCTTTTTTAAATAAGGAGACCAAAACTGCACACAATACTCTAGGTGCGGTCTCACCAAGGCTCTATACAGTTGCAGCAAGACTTCCCTACTCTTGTACTCTAAACCTTTTGCAATGAACGCTAACATGCCGTTCGCCTTCTTAGTTGCTTGCTACACCTGCAAACTAACTTTTTGAGACTGGTGCACAAGGATACCCAAATCCCTCTGAACACTAACACTATCTAATCTCTCCCCATCTAGAAAATAATCAATTTCAATAGAGTTGCAAGTGAACTAGCCAGCAACCCAAAAACAGTAGGATTAGAGATCAAGGTTCTGGGATGTAGAGTATAATTTCACAACTGTGATCCTGTTGATTCAAGGACAAAAAACAAGAAGTATGTATTTACAGAAAGGGTAAGCAAATACCAGAATGTTTGGTAGAGGGTAGGATGCTGGGAACTTATTTAATAAATAGTTTGCTGCTGTGATGGAAACATATATGGTTGATTTCTACAAGAACAATTTCCATTTGTAGAATGGCACTTTAAGACATACTTCCAACTGTAATGGCGCTATATAAATGTAAATTCTATTGTAAATTGTATTCTATCATACAAATTCATGGAACTCAGTCTGGTTTGGTATGGTCAAGCATATTTTTTNCCACGTGTCATGCCCCAAAGTAACCCAGAATATGTCCACCTCAGCATGAGCTTTTTTCAGTTTAATGCTTAAGGGCAATAACTAACTGCAAGATTAATCCTCAAAGAAAATAAAAAAGCCACATGATGTTTTTCACTATCACTTGGAGGCTTTCAAACAATATGAGTAACAGTATCAGCAGGCATTGAAAAAGTGGCTCCCAAATGCATTGTTGTGAAATTAGAATAAAGGGAATTGGTAGGGTAAATACAGAGAAACTGGAGAAAGAGGGGTATAATTTTAAAATAAAAGCTAGGCCAGATAAGAGTGAGACTAGGTTGCATTACTTTATGCAAAGGGTAGTGGAAATCTGAAATTCTCTCCACTGAAAGGCTGTGGATGCTGGGTAAATTGAAATTTTCAAGTATGAGTTCAGTAGATATTTGTTAGGTAATGGTATCAAGGAATATGGAAAAAAACAGGTAAATGAAATTGAGGTTCAAATCACCCATGATCCAACAGAATTGAGGGACAGGCTTGAGGAGCTGAATGGCCTACTCCTGTTCCTATGTTCTTCTTCCACCGTGATTTTCTTCAAAACTTTTTCAAATAATCATTAAACTCATATTCAAATAAATTCACTCAAATATTTTAACAGAATATATCTCTAACATGGAATAAAACACATCAGCCATCCAATTGTTCCAAGTTCACGATATGTAGTAATTTTCAAACAATAAACTCTCGGGATGTATTGTTATTTATTCAAGTTTTATTTCCTGAAATAACCTGCGGATGGTTAACAGGAGAATTTAGTCACCTAATTACTTTAAAAATAATTTTCATTTTAATTTCTGGTAAATACATTAAAAATTAAAAGGTAGAAATATATGTCTGATCTTAAAATGTCTTTACAATATATTCCGCTATTCCCTTCCCTCCTTTGAGCAACCTAACTTTATAGTATGAACAGAGTGCTGCTAACATTGCATACATGCTTTTTCATTGTTTCATATCTTATAGTTTGTGATGAGTTTGCCACAAGTAATGTAAATTATGCGTATCACCATGAAATGGAATCTTGCGTTGTGTTTTCTGTGTTTTGTAAAAGACATGTAGTGACCCCAACAGGAAAATATATTCATTTCTTTGGTCCACTGTTCTTTGGTTCCTTTCTATTGAAATTGTACCATTTAGTACCATGTCTCTCCCTCACACTACAAGAGCACGTGTAATGATCATACATGAGTAAGAAAGGAATAGCATGGTTTGGGCAAGGATTATAGGGGAATATAAATCCCAGAATGGGTGAAACAGTTGCTGTTACCAGAACAGTTTTTTTTATCATTCCTGCCAAGGATATTTGTACAACATGAATTTGTATTATTTCACATGCTGTACAGCATAATATTTTGCTTTCCTTTTAAGCTAATGTTAAATATGTGTTATATAAAATAAAAGAGTACCTAACAAATATTAGCACTGCCATGATATCTTCATTACCCCACCTATTCTGAAGATAATTGAGTGCAAGAGAAATAGTGCATATGCTAACATAATTCCAGAAGAGCAAATTGGGCTTCTTAGAGCTTCTTTTCCAAAGGCAATGCACAATCCAGCCATATAGTCTTATAGTCATATAGCCACACAGTCTCGAAGACATGATACGGTGCTCTATTAAATGCTAGGATTATTATTATATCATGAACTGTATTTCACAAATACATAAATAATACAAGTTTTAAGATTCCACCATTGTGAAGTTAAAACCACTGCTTTAAAATGTAAGATTGTGCCAAATTTTGGAAACCCTATTTAATTCAATATTAATTTGAACAATCTTCTGCCTCGTCCCCTTTTCATCAATCTTTAAATCATATATTAAGAGTTACTTATTTGACCCCACCCCTCATAGTCACCTCGCCCCCTTC